TTCTGTTCAGGCCAGCTGCACAGTGGGGAAACCCTGGGAAGTGAAAAGAGCAGGGTAGTACCTTGCTCAAATTCTTGGAAGACAATTTTATTTAATAGGGGATATGATCCAACAGTCTGGCGCTTATCTGCTAAATCAATCTCTATTTTCCTCCTTGTCTGGTTTTGTTGAAAATTTACCCTGGCCATTTTTTAGCAAACTCATTTTATTACCTTTCCATAATAATATCCACAGACATGGCTTTAAACAAATTCTGTAACAGTGCAACAAGGATACCAGCAAATTGATAGAAAATGAGCGTTGTAAAAGAGGGCATCGTGAACTATTAAATAGGACAGGGCAGCTGTAATCTCCATGATGAAAAGAGAAACTTAATACAGTTGATAGGACATGAAAAGGATCAAAATACTTTGCTCGTAAAATGTGAAGAAATCCTTTACAAAAACGCCTCAATGAGGCATTAATGAGATGTTATGCGTATTAAAGAAAAGAATAGTGTTTAAGAGCTTTCCATACAATTTTAAACCAACTGAATGTACTATTTTCTCATCGAAAACTCCTTTACAGAAGGGAAGAGGAGCTCAAGGATTCCATCCCTGTCACAAGAAAACAAAGTTGAAAGGAAAAAGGACACCCCCTTGAATTATCAAGCATCAACGGTTTCTCATGTGTTTTTTCTATAGCGTGGATGGGATTCCAAAAAACCTTCAGGATTGCAGAATAGTTTTGGGCTATGTAAATGGGCCTATTTTCTCTGTATTTCCTTGCTCCATTTTACTACTATGACATTCCAAAATTTTCAAGGATAACAATTCACCAGTCATTTAGTCGCTAAAATCCTCGTTTATGGCACCGTTTTGTGGACATTTTTGTGCACCTTTTGATATAAGTTCATAGAAAAGGGCAACAAAGCAGTTCATTTTCATGCATTTTGGCAATTTGGTCCACCATGAACGACAGGAACACTTTGCACATGTCAAATTTCATGGTGTTTAACATTCTTTTACAAAAGGGATACAGAATTGTTTTTAATTAAGAAAAAAAATCAAAGGATAATCAAATATATGAGGTGTCTTATGCAAACAGTTTCATAACCATGTACAAACTTAGTAGAACTATAATGCAATTGATATAAAAATTTGAGGGAAAAAAAGAAAATTTAGATAAAAAATAGAGCATCTTAATACTTTGATATAACCTTGAAATACTATACAGGTAGAGAGAGGATAATCATCATATTTGAAACTCTAGACCACTTTTACTGGAACATCACCCAGTGTCATAACATTTAATGATGAAAGATAGGTAGAGAGAGGATAATCATCATATTTGAAACTCTAGACCACTTTTACTGGAACATCACCCAGTGTCATAACATTTAATGATGAAAGATAGGTAGAGAGAGGATAATCATCATATTTGAAACTCTAGACCACTTTTACTGGAACATCACCCAGTGTCATAACATTTAATGATGAAAGATAACTGCTCCCTGCCACTACTAGCACTCTTGTATGTCTTTGTTTACTGCCAATGTGTGGTTAAGAAACTTTAGTCAACTCCAAGTTGCAAACCAAGCCAGGGTACGTTTATGCTCAGTTTTGAAGGCAGAATGAGCGATTTGAAACGCTCATTGTAAACGCTCATCGTAATTGCAGTTCCACGGTGTACTGTTTATGCTCTTCTCTGGCAGAGCCAGAATCATGCCTGGAGGAGCTAGAGAAGTGCAGAGCAGAGTCTGCAGCAAACCTGCACTGCGCATGCTACGTTGACCCCATTTCATTACAAATGATTGTGCGTTTATGCTTCCCCAGAATCGCCGAATTTGCAGAATCGCTGATCGTAAATGCACCTTTTTGTGAGTTAACGATCGGCAATTATGATAGCCGTTTTTCGTTGATTCTACAAAAATGAGAAAGGACGCAACAGTGTTTTGAACTAAACGCGTAACAGATGCCTCATTCTGGCCAGAAAAAGTTGAGCATAACATACCCCAAGAGCAGTGCAGGCGCGTAGCCAGGGGGGGGGGGGGCGGTGGGAGCAGTTCCCCCCCCCCAAGGCTGGCCATAAAAAAGAGAGAGAGGGAGAGAAGAGAACAAAGTAAGAGGACGTAGGAAGAAAAAAGAGCAGACAAACATTTTTGAAAATTCAGACAAGGGTTAAAAGTCGAGAACATTACAGCAAATTGTCTTCTTTCTCTAATAATTGAATGAAACGTCAAAGCTTCTGCGCTTCGAGCGGGAGGGTGAAAACTGAATTCAAACAAGGAGTAAGAGTCGAGAACAGTACAACAAATTGTCTTCTTTCTCTAATAATTTAGTGAAACGTCAAAGCTTCTGTGCTTCGAGCGGAAAAACTGAAATCAGACAAGGGTTAAAGAAGCTGAGCGAAGGTTTCAAAAGGCTTTTAACCTTAATAATGTTGGTATCATTGCAAAGTTAATGTTACAATCTTTCTAATGGTTCATATTTAGTTTTCAAAAATTGTTACAGATTTGACTTATCTGCTTTTAAAAGTGGTGAAATTACTACCCGATTATTCCGCCCTTGATCGGCCCGCTATTGTGACATACGATTTGTGACGTAGGAGGTTGGGCACATGAGCGAGAGTGCGATCCTCAAGCTCTCACACAACTCTCGCCTGCATGCATTATACGTATATAAACGCCACTCGAACGCTAAATATCTGATCAAAATGTCCGAGCTCGAAGAAGAGGTTTTACTCGATTTAGAATTCGAAGTTAATGAGCACAGCTCCACAACAGTGGTACTGGTAGAGATAGTGATGATGATGATGATTGGGATGTAGGAGAGATGGAAGAAAGAGAACAATTCGGAGTAGACGGCGTCGATGCTGGTGCAGGTCAAGTGATAGCATATCAGCGCGAGCTGGTTGAGCTGCCAGCTGCCGCTCAGCTCCCCCGGCCCCGCTCAACTGGCGATCGATCTGTCATGACTGGGCGAGACATTTTCTAATTTTTCGGGATGTGTGGGGCTTTTTGGCAAATTTCACGGATAATAAAACAAAGATGATTAGATGTGAGATTATATTTGGCGAAAATCAATTACAAATATGCACCATTCAGAAATAGAACTGCAGCTGCAGGACATCATACAAAAAAGGACGCTCGCGATTCACTCATCATGGTCTCCCTATATAATCAACAGCTATCACTATCACGCCTAGGCATATGATGACCGAACAAATACAAAACATCTCAGCAAATTACACAGAATGGAAGGGTATTTGGACAAATCGAATTGCACGATTCACCCCTCGTATTATATTACATAAATTTGCTTAATATTATATGTAATTACATGATTTCTAGAGATTGTTATTCCACTTTCTGGTCAGGATATGAAGCATGCGAAGTCTGGATAATGTATACGTATAGCTATGCAAAATACCGCACGCGAGCTGTGCGAGAGGCGAGCTTGAGGCCTAGAATTGCGATCGTGCCCAACCAGGGACGTCATAATCGGCCTACTGCGCGAACAATGTTCAAGCCAGGAATTGAAGTTCTGAGAAGGTTCTTGGAAAAAGCTTCTTACCGCGTTTCATTTTTATTTACAAGACTTTAGAGCAGAATGTGTGTCTTCATGTATAATTTGCCCATTTTGAATGATTATGTGAAATTTCTTCGCCGAGCTACTTTAAGAGTTGAGAACGGTACACGAATCGTCTTCTTTCTCTAATAATTTAATGAAACGTCAAAGCTTCCGCGCCCTCCCTGCACCCACCCTCTAGGGAGCGCCCTTTTCACGCTCTGTAAGTGATTTGCACGCTTTGTGTGCTCACTACCGCCCCCCTAAAATAAATTCCTAGCTATGTGCGGAGCAGTGTTGGTCCTCAGTTATGTGCCGTGCAGACATAATCAACTTCAAGGTTACGCTAGCTTGTAGATAAAATGATTGCTCTCCTGGCTTATAGTTAACTTTGAATACACGTTCTTTCGGTCCTGTGAGAACCCTTGTCGTGGACAGTAAATCATATGTCATATGTCCTCTCATACCTGTTGGCCCAAATATGGAAGCCTAACTATTCCACTAAAGATCAACAGAATGCTTTTGTCATCCACCTGTACAATGCTTGGGCTACTAGCCCTTGAACATGACTTGAACAAAGTAGATCCCCAAGTTGCTACCCTGTAATCTCAAAACTTATTTTTCTCTGGTGAGTAAAATAAAGACCACCATCAACATCAAAAATTGTTTGGCTAGTCCTACCTTGCTGTGCTGGGGCTATGAGCCCCTCAATTAACAAGTCCTTCAGACACAATTTAAACCATAGATCCCCTCGATATTTGCCTGTAAGTACATACATTTTTTCTTAACAATAACAGGCAGGTAAAAATTCCCAACATCAACATCAACAAATGTTAAGATTGTTGGACGTTACTGTGCAGGGGCAACAAGTCCCTTGGTCAACAAATCCCTCGTCATTGTTGCTAATCTAAAGACATCTTTTTCTCCGGACACATCTGTAGATGCTGTGGGTTGTCCTACAGTGCTGTGCTGGATCTACTAGCCCCTTGATCAACAGGTCGGCCAGACACTACCTTTTACCATAATTTACTTATTTCCTTTTTTGTAAGCTTACACTTCTTTCTTTCAGAAGTCAGGTTCAATCAAGAAATGTGTCGATTGTCTTGCATTGCTGTGCTTGGACTACTAGCACTTTGATCAAAAGCCTTCTGGGCCTGTTGCATAAAACTTGCCATTGATGGTAACTTTGCCATCAATGGCAACTACCATGGTAAGAGGGCTCAACAGCCAATCAAAATCAAGGTTTCCATGGTAGCTACCATTGACGGCAAAATTACCGTCCATGGTAAGTTTTGTGCAACAGGGCCTGGACATGGCTTAAGGCTACTGGTACTTTACTTCTGTAAATGAAAACCTTCTTTCTGAGTAGTCAGGTACAATAGGGGACCTACTACGAGTTGTAGCAGGGACCATAGTGCAATAAACATCAAGAATTGTTTGAGGTTGTCCTACCTTGCAGTGCTGGGGCTACTAGCCCCTCCCTTGGAGCTGGACACGGCGATGGCCATGCCAGGATGATGGGAGATGGCGGAGGAGGAACCGTAGAGACCGGAGTGATGGCTGATGGGGATCTCTAGAAGCTCAGCGAGGCATGCCATCTGGGCCTGGCGAGCCTTCTGACGACCTGTCAATCAATCAATCAGAAACAGACAAAATAATGATAATAATAATATTCCGCTTTTATATTATATAGCGCTTTATAAATCTACGATGTATCTAAGCGCTTTACAGATATGTATTACCCCTGTCAGTGGATTCAGTGCTTGCCCTGGGGAGCATTCTAGCCAGGTGTTACTTGATGATGGAACAAACTGTTACTAAGCGGCATTCTCATGACAAATTCATTCACATTGACAATTTTTTAAAAATCTGAAGAATCCGATCAACCCTTTAACTTCCATGCTGTTGGCAGCTTATACCATCCCAAAATGTGTGTGATGCCTCGTTCTTTTGACCAAGAATTGCTAGGTTTTTCTCTTCCCGAAACAGATATCTTCATTGTGAAGTGTACTCTGATGGAAGATACAGCATGTTGTCCCTGTATGATATATATATATATATATATATATATATATATATATATATATAAATTTTGCGATAATCGCTCTTGGTTTATTGTCGTGAGATGTTGTTTCCAAATTTACAATAACATTTGTGTTTTGATTCATTAGAATGAAAACTGTGGGTCACAGGGACAGAGGACTAATATGGGCCATACGAATTTAGGACCCTAACTGAGTGCCTTTATCCATACAGGAGCCACATGGAAAATGAATCACTATCTCCACCCAGCCTGCAGGTCTTGTATTCCATGAAGTATTTGCCCGAACTTAAATCTAATTTACAAAATTTAAATGAATTTGCAGAGATTCCTTTCCGACACCTGCCTGTAACTAAGTACAGAGTGTAACACAACGTCACAGGTTTTAAAACAAATCTGCATTAGCTTCCAGAACTCTAGAGCCGTTACCTGATGAGAAAGGTTGTGCAGTGGTATTGTAACCAGGGGGGTGTTTCACAAAGACTACCGGTAAGAGTGACTTTAAGTTGGACTTAACTATGACAGGCCATTCATGCCACTGGTTGTTCTCACTGTCGGTCTCTCAATTATGATCTTTAGATAACATTTTTTCCTTCAATAATGAACTATCGAAAAAATTAAATTCTGTAGATTTGTGACCACGATTTAAACTTCCCTTCAGAGTCCAATGCCAGTAAATGGCAAGAGCGAACAGTGGCACGAACGGCCTGCCATAGTTAAGTCCAACTTAAAGTCGATCTTAGTCTTTAGACCTGTCTTCATTAGCTCAAGATTGCCAAACATCCCTCTATTTGAACTATCTCGATCGCAAATTTAATTTGCGTCTTTATCAGCCCGAAGTTGCAATTAGCAGAATATTTGATCGAGATAATCATCCAAAGATATCTTGGGCTAGTTTGCAAAATATCCTGCTATTTGTCCAGTGCGTCTTCAACAGCCAGAAGACTCGCAATATGCGCGAACGCTGAGCAAAATATCTCAAGCTAATTTCTTGAGCTTGAGTTTCAAGTTTCAAGGTCAACTCTCGAGCTGATGTAACTTCGGGATTATTTCCCAAATCAGAAATAGCGGGCTATTTGGCAATCTCGAGCTGATGAAGGCAGGCATATTGTGAAACACCCCCCAGGTTGAGCCGTCACTACAAGATGGTGAAAGTTACCTTTGGTCAATCTCTGCTTGGCTGCCATGCATCGGATGTGATCATCAAACTGGAAGCGGGCAGCGAGGAGGGGTACCGGTCTGGCGTGGGGGGAGGCCGTAGAGCGTTGGTGGACGGTCACATGAAGGGATCTGCTGTCGTCTTTGTCCCCGGTCACCTCTAGATCCTGGAGTGAGAGTGAAATTAAGAGGGATATGGTAATTAAATGTTTCATCATAGCACAGCCCTTTAAAACTTGACTTAACTGCCAAGTCCAAGCTAATTTGTACCATACATTACTGACTATATCTACAAAAAATATATATTGGAGGACTGAATCAAGCCGAGACCCTTACCAGAGCTTGAATCAAACAAAATATCAAATAAAGTAATATTTTTACTTCAATTTATGTTCGAAATTACATTACATTAAACTCAGTAATATAATATTTGGTAACATATGGGCTAAATACCTTGGACTTTCCCAGCTTTAGGCCTTAACAAATATTCACCATAATTCATTATACAAAACTCTTAATAAAAAGAAGCTTCATTTGCAAATCAAACATGAACAAATTCCAGGCAGGCATTCTAAGTCTAATAGAAGCTACTCCTGGCAAATTACAAATATGATTTCAAAAAATAAGTACATACTTCAAACAATTTTGAACATTAACCGATAATTGTATATCAAGTACTTTGCATAGCCAATAAATATTGAGAATTTTTGGTGTTGTTGAACTTACTGATATATTTTTTTTAACCTGGTAAAAGTTGGAATAAAGCATCAAACAAAATCATTATCATTAACATCCGGCTTTCACTTCCATACACATTACTACAATTCATGACATGAATATTGATCTTTCCTGAAAAGATCAAAGAATGATTGGGATTTACTTTCCTCTAAAAATAACTGAATAATTTCCTGCTTTTAATTGCTCTTGCTTTCATGTCCATACACAATTAAAGCAGTCAAATTCATTCATCATCATCATCCTTTTTTGTTCAATTGTTTTTGAAAAATGCATGTGCTATATTAGTGCTTCAAAGAAGAGATCCAATCAACTGATCGATGACTTCAACAAGATGAATTCAGCAAAGATTACGACGGCTTTGTTCCCACGAAAATAAGCATCAAAAGAAAAGAGAATCCTACAAATCTACAGTACAATTTTTATGCCTCCGCCACCGAAGGTGGTGCCGGAGGCATCATGTTTTCGGCTTGTCCGTCCGTACGTCCGTACGTCCATACGTCCGTACGTCCGTCCCGTTTGACCGTTATCACAATATCTCAAGAACCATTTAAGATTTAAACTTAAGACTCGGGAATAGTATTTATCACCATAGGAAGACGATCTGATTAGATTTTGGAGTACGTAGGTCAAAGGTCACAGGTCACAGAGGTCAACTTATGAAATTCCTTGTATTGAGTTTGTTAGCGCGATATCTCAAGAACCATTTGAGATTTAAACTTCAAACTTAAGGATAGTATGTATCACCATAGGAAGACGATCTGATTAGATTTTGGAGCACGTATGTCAAAGGTCAAGGGTCACAGAGGTCAACTTATGAAATTCCATACATTGAGATTGTTATCATGATATCTCAAGAACCACTGGAGATTTAAACTTCAAACTTAGTGATAGTGTGTATCACTATAGGAAAACAATCTGATTACATTTTGGAGCACGTAGGTCAAAGGTCAAGGGTCATAGAGGTCAACTTATGAAATTCCATACATTGAGATTGTTATCATGATATCTCAAGAACCACTGGAGATGTAAAAACTTCAAACTTAAGGATAGTATGTATCACCATAGGAAGACGATCTGATTAGATTTTGGAGCACGTAGGTCAAAGGTCAAGGGTCACAGAGGTCAACTTATGAAATTCCATACATTGAGATTGTTATCATAATATCTCAAGAACCACTGGAGATTTAAACTTCAAACTTAATGATAGTGTGTATCACCATAGGAAGACAATCTGATTAGATTTTGGAGCACGTAGGTCAAAGGTCAAGGGTCACAGAGGTCAACTTATGAAATTCCATACATTGAGATCGTTATCGCGATATCTCAAGAACCACTGGAGAATTTTCACTTCAAACTTAATGATAGTATGTATCACCATATCATAATATCTCAAGAACCACTGGAGATTTAAACTTCAAACTTAATGATAGTGTGTATATCACCATAGGAAGACAATCTTATTAGATTTTGGAGCACGTAGGTCAAAGGTCAAGGGTCACAGAGGTCAACTTATGAAATTCCATACATTGAGATTGTTATCATGATATCTCAAGAACCACTGGAGATTTAAACTCCAAACTTGTTTAAATTGCTCTATGGCGGAGCCATCATTTTCGACTGCGCGCAGTCAAAATTCCATCTAGTTTTCTAATGAATTTATTCCATGAATTTATATCATTCTATATTAAAGAGGCTGCTGTCATTTCTACTTTTAGACTTATATATTAGGAAATTATCGGAAGGAAAAAACAGATAGAGAAGGACCGATTTGCATCACCATTGGTGACATTTTAAAGACTTTTAATAGCTTGTGGTTTCTCCAAGGTAAGATTGTGTCTATTCTGAGAAAATCTTATACATGTAGCTATTGATACCCACAAGCAATCTTCTTGATAGGAACATTTTATTGCCTTTCCCAGAAATCATACAAAATGCAACAGTATTCCACAGAAATAGATGATATTGAGATCCATCTATAAGTTCTCTTTTTATTTTCAATAACCATTTCCTTTCAAAATGGCTTCTAAAATATCAGTTGCTTTCTTAGATAAGAATGAGGAAAAGCTGGGAAATAAAACATAAGGGAGAACTGATATATGGTAAAGGCCTGCTATCATCTTTCGAGATATTTTTAATACTTTCATCATTTCTCGTGGTTTCTCAAAGGTTGTACCTATTCTAGTTGCTAAAATTAATACGCAAATTTAGTCGCTGTTCCCAGAAACCATTCTGTAAAAGGCTTCAATAATATAATTTACTTTAGATGAATAATTGGTGAAACGCTGGAGAAAAAAAATAATGGAAAGTATTTATAGAACAACCCTGCTGTCGTGTTTGCCAATATTTGTCAAACCTTCCAATTGTTTCTTGTGAGTTCCACAAATTGTTTCTATTCTGAGCGCACCTGGTTGCTATGTATACCTGTCTTAATCACCTAAGTCATATCTAATAAAAGAATACCTTTCCAAGAAACTACAAACAATACCTGGATGTGCCTCAGAAAGAAGATAGATACAAATACATCGAGATCAATCGCTAAAACGTTTTTATTTCAAATATTTCTATCATTCTGCAAAAGGCTTCTATAATATCATCTACACTAAATGAATAATTGGTGAAACGCTGGAAAGAAAAACAATAGAAATTATTTATAGAGCAACCTGCTGTCATCTTTGCCAATATTTTTCAAACCTTTTAATATTCAAAGCTTTCAATATTTTCCTGCAAGTTTAACAAATTGTATCTATTCTGAGCGCAGCTGGTTGCTATTTATACCTGTCTTAATCACCCAAGTCATATCTAATAAAAGAATACCTTTCCAAGAAACTACAAACAATACCTGGATGTGCCTTAGAAACAAGACAGATACAAAATACATTGAAATCCATATCTAAAATGTTTATTACAAACATTTTTATCAGTCTGGAAAAGGCTTTAATAATATCATTTACATTTAAATGAATAATTGGTGCAATGCTGGAAAGAAACAAAATGGAAAGTATTTATAGAACAACCCCACTGTCATCTTTGCCAATATTTTCCAAACCTTTCAATATTTTCTTGCAAGTTTAACAAATTGTATCTATTCTGAGTGCAGCTGGTTGCTATTTATACCTGCCTTAATCACCCAAGTCATATCTAATAAAAGAATACCTTTCCATGAAACCACAAACAATGCCTTGATGTGCCTCAGTATAACAAGAAAAGATAGAAATACATCGAGATCCATCTCTAAATATATTCAATTCAATCATTTCTATCATCCTGCAAAAGGCTTCTATAATATTATGTATATTTATATCAATAATTGGTGAAACGCTGGAAAATAAACAATGGAAAGTATCAATAGATTGAACAACCCTGCTATCAACTCTGCCAATATTTGTTCAAAACTTTCAATATTTTTTTCTGAGGTCCACAAATTGTATCTATTCTGAGTGCAGCTGGTTGCTATTTATACCTGTCTTAATCACCCAAGTCATATCTAATAAAAGAATACCTTTCCAAGAAACTACAAACAATACCTGGATGTGCCTCAGAAACAAGATAGATACAAATACATCGAGATCCATCTCTAAAACTTTTCATTTCAACCATTTCTGCCATCCTGCAAAAGGCTTCTATAATATCATCTACATTTAAATGAATAATTGGTGAAATGCTGGAAAGAAAAACAATGGAGGGTATTGATAGAACAACCCTGCTGTCAATTTTGCCAATATTTTTCAAACCTTTCAATATTTTTTTCTGAGTTCCACAAATTGTATCTATTCTGAGTGTAACTGGTTGCTATTTATACCTGTCTTAATCTTGCAATTCATATCTATAAAAAAAAAGCCCTACCAAGAAACCACAAAAAATGCCTTGATGTGCTTTGGTAACAATGTACATTGAGATCCATCTCTAAATACATGTATTTCAAACATTTCTATTGGTCTGCAAAAGGCTTCTTTAATATCACTATATTTAGATGAATAATTGGTGAAACGCTGGAAAATAGACAATGGAAAGCATCAATAGAACAACCCTCCTTACATCTTTGCCAGTATTTTTCAAACCTTTCAATATTTTCTTATGAGTTCCACAAATTGTATCTATTCTGAGCGCAGCTGGTTGCTATTTATACCTGCCTTAATCACCCTAGTCATATCTAATAAAAAAATACCTTTCCATGAAACCACAAACAATGCCTTGATGTGCCTCAGTATAACAAGAAAACAAAGAAATACATTGAGATCCATCTCTAAATATATTCAATTCAATCATTTCTATCATCCTGCAAAAGGCTTCTATAATATTATGTATATTTACCGGTATATAAATAATTGGTGAAACGCTGGAAAATGAGCAATGGAAAGTATCAATAGATTGAAAAACCCTGCTATCAACTCTGCCAATATTTGTTCAAAACTTTCAATATTTTTTTCTG